CAACGTCAAGGCCGACACCTCGCGCGTCCGTGCCCCAGCCCGTTCCGGCATGGCCGAGCTGCCGTGCGTCCGCGCGCGCCGCGCGCCCGCTCCGGCGAGGCCGAGCTGCCGTGCGCCCACAACGTCAAGGCCGACACCTTGCGCGTCCGCGCCCCAGCCCGTTCCGGCGTGGCCGAGCTGCCGTGCGTCCGCGCGCCCAATCCATCAAGGCCGGCTTCCAGCACGTCCACGCCCCTGCCCGCTCCGGCGAGGCCGAGGTCACCGCGGTGCTCGATTTGGTCGCCGGCTCGTGGGTAGACGTGCCTGGCATTGAAGCCCTCATCCCTGTAGCGTAGCTCCGAACGCTGCCGGCAGCGAGCTCTCCGACGAGCTCACAAGCTGCTCGACGAAATGCCAGGGAGGCAGGGAGTGAGAGAGACTGCTGACAAGTGGGCCTATATCAACTTAACGGTCCATGCAAACGCTGTTGACCTTTCTTGCCACAGCATCACTTACATGCAGCCCCCATGTGTCAGTTTTCCACTTAAACTGCTCTAATTAGTCAATCAGTGTTTTCTGAAAACTGTCAGCATAATATTAGTGGCTTTTTGAAAAAAAAATCGAAACGTGGTGGTTTTTTGAATTAGGGTCCCTAATTGTGATGGTTTTTTGCAATTTACTCAAGGTTCGTGTAACTGTCTGCACACAAAACTCCAGTGTGCAGAAACAGTTACTGACAGAAAAGGTTGACATGGCAGGTCCATATTCGCCGTCGTAACAGTCTGCAGAGCTGATCAATGCTTTATCTTGTGACTTGGCTGTACCCGTGCCTTTTACTTTCAGTTGGATTTCAAAGTCAAATCTATCCGTAAACGCAATTGCACGGGACGGGCCAATCAAGCGCAAAATTCTATCCTGCAAGCATCATCAATTTCATCCCATTGATCAGTAAAAGAGGACACATGTGTGCAATCAAGGTCTCCAAAAGAAAATCAAAAGATAGTCGTAGCATACATACATCTTCTTTCAGTTCTTGGGCCTGGCTCATATTACGAGAGAAGAGAAGGTTGCGGTTGTGATCCGCGACGTCTCGGGCAGCAACCACGCCATACACAGACAATGGCCACTTGAGGCCACCGGCTATTTCTGCGAGCTTGATGGAGAAGATCTGCAATGTTCGCGTGGCAGACCCAGGACCGCTGTTGAGTCTGGGCGTGTTGTGCGTAAACTGTATGGAACTCAGGGTCGCTGCATGCAGAACCAAAATAAGTGAATCGGGTGTCAGAAATGTTCTAATGAACATGCATGAACAAGCACTAGATGACCACATGCACAAAAAATCAAGTAAATGGACCCCTTTCCTTAGTTTCAAGGAAAAAGAGGAACCCTCCCTTTTTCTTTATCTTTATAAAAGGGCGACCTGACATAAACCACTAGTTACACAAAGAGAGATTTGTTGGTTGCTCACTCACTCATGTCTCTGAAGAAGCCGCACGTTCTGCCCCACGCATATTCCCAGCTGCGAACATATGAAGCGAATCTCTCTGCTTCATTAGCCATCTCCTTAGCCAATAGTGTGTCCATCTCGTCATGATCAGGACAGCCTTGGACAGAGCATCTGCCAATTGTGCCTGCAGATTTGAGCAACAACTTATCCGATTTCACAGTCCAACACGCGTCTGATTTGCGCATGTCCATCTCATCCTTCTTGTCGTCGCCGCCACAATCCAATGTGTTGGTGCTGGGATATGCAGGTTGGAGCATTGACTTGGCTGATTCGACCATCTTCCTGTCCCCATTGGTAATGTTGTCCAAACCCATGAACATCACCGACCCTGCCTCCCTCTGTGATCTGAATTCAGACTCATAACCACCACCATCAGACTCCAATCTGCCGGCGCGATTACTTTTCTCTTTGGCCCTGGACCTGAGATGATCCTCAATCTTCTTCTCAGACGACAGCCGGTGGCGCAATGGCGCGATTTGATCCAGGAGAAACCCTTGGACAAATCCGTTGCATTCGATCCTATGACACGACTGTTCATCCTCCAAGCTCCCGGTGACCACCTTGGTCAGCTCTCTCCCATGCGCTTCCAGATCAGCAAGAACCTTCTCCAGGCTCAACAGCACAGCTTCCGCACTAGGGATTTCGCCGCCGGCGGGAGATTCCTGGGTCGTTTGGCGACGGGGAAAAGCGCTAGACTGCTGCCCCATGATCTTCCAGGGTGAGGATCCCCCCGCCATCTTGCCGGTCGATCCAATAGAACGGCGGCAGCGGCGGCGCCGGCGCCGGCGAAAGGGTACGTGCATTCAGCTTTGGTCCTGAGTTTTTTTTATAAGTTCACAAACTTAAAATCTGTCAAGGCCCACATTATGAGCAGCCCTATTGCCGGCCCAGCTTTGGCCCAAGACAGAACCGGGCCTACTAGGGCCCACAGCCCAGCGCCCCATCATCTCCCACGTCACCTCCGCGCCCGCCCGCGCCTATCCCCTCCACTCGTTGCTTGGGATTCCTCCGCTCGCGGCAAAAACCTCCGACCGAGCAGATAAGGCGCGGCCACCACCCCCGACCACCGCCACCGGCCATGGTCGGCGTCGCCGCCGGCTTCGCGTTCGCGCCGGCCGTGTCCCGGCGACTGCCCTACAGGCCGTGCTGCTCCACCGCCCACGCCTCGGTGCCCTCGTCCTCGGCGCGGTCGTCGCTGGCCGCGCGGCAGGGGCGGCCGCGGCGGCTCGTCGCCGTCGCGCGCTACTCCGCGTACGGGAGCGACGAGGAAGACGACGAGGAGGGCGGGGGCGGGCGGCGGGACCGCCCCGAGCAGGAGCAGGACCCCGCCCTCGACATCGAGCGCATCCAGTACGAACGCCATTTTCCTTGCCCCTCCACTTATTATAGCTGTATAATGTGCTCCACAATCCACATGTTTGCGTCGTCAAATGCCGAGTGATTCCATGTCTGAATTTTAGTTTTTTTGGTATTCTTTGCAGTATTAATGTTACCCAATTGGAACACTCATGTCTGCAAATGAACATATGTTCTTTTAAAACAATGACATTCTGTTGGGGGAGACAGAGCTTGGTTTTGTGTTAGCGTGCCAAATAACTTGCTACATCTGGAGTTGTGATGTATTTAGTCTTGTATGATGATTTCTTCCGTATCTGTACATTCATTCAATTCTTTCAACATTTCAACCGCCTCCCTTGGTTAGGTCTTCGACCGTCAGGCTACTGGATGCCCAGAAAAATATGGTAAATCACATGCCCAATCATTTAAGTAATGCTCTTGCCTGATTATGTGTTTGATGGTGCACCTTCATTCGTCCCTCTGTAGGTTGGTGTTATATCTGTAAGCGAGGCAGTTCGAATCGCAGATGAAAATGATCTTATGCTGGTACTTTCCATCTCATGTAGCTTCTTTCTCTATAAACATACATTTTCAGCAAGAACAAGTAGTTGTTCATTAGCATTTAGAGAGGGCTTTTATAGGCATGTTCTGCTTATAAACTAAATGAAAATAGCTGAAACTCTGACATTTTAATAGGAAAAGTGTGAATTTTGACAGATTGACTTAAAACTCCTAAATCTCTTATACACCATCTAATGTACTGATATTGCTCACAGTAGTACTAATTAATAAACCCCGTTTACAAGTGTAGACCGGCATATCTGCAAAAAAGAACAGTATTTCTGCAGAAGCCCTAACTTTGCAAAGTGCACTCGTGTTTAACAAGATACTAACTCAAGCCATATCTTCTTAGGACATGCATTACTGGTGTCAATATGTACACAAATTGGGATGATTTATATTTCTCTAATTTCAGGCAATATTGTCACTAGATGGAGATCCTCCAGTACTCCGACTCTTTGAAGAGAAAGATTACAAGTATGTTGCAGTGAACACCTGACAATTTCACTTCTTATCTGATCAATTTCCGTTATGAAATCATGTTTATTGATAGTACACTTCTAGGTATGTTTAAGCACTCTGTAAAACAAGGTTATACATATTATTTCAAAAACAAGGATATGCATAGTGTAGGAGGCACACCTCAAGATGTCATTTGGTTTTGACAAGTTTCCTCACAATGGTTTCAGTAGCTATGTCATAAGTATATCGAATATTACCTCATTAGCTAAAGACTAAAGTAAAACAATGTCCTGCAGCTCCTATCCTGTCTACTTGAGACCCTGCTTCTCTATGTCAAACTTGTACATGGCATCTGCAGGTTAGATCAATAATAGGCTGTTCTCCCAATGTAAGGTCGTCAGTTACTCAGTTAGCAGACAGTCCCTTGGTTCAAATCTGTATTTTGTACAGCACATGGTCTTCAGTTAGCAAGACTATCGGTTTTCAATAATTAAAAAAATGTTTGTATTTTTAAATTACTTGTCATCTTTTCTTTTATCTAGATTTGTGCCCTTCAGAACTTACTAGAATTATTTTTGCTGGTTTTGTACAGAAAACACAAGTACGAACAACAGAAGAAGAAAAGAGTTCAGCAGAAAAGATCCGTTGGTAAACTTCTCTAGTAACTCATTTTATTTTCCATCCAAATGTGTTCACTATGCTAATATGGGTTGCCTCTTCCCTGATGTCCACTCTTTACAGCAAAACGCATGGGCTTGAAAGAGCTGAAAATGGGGTACTGATCATGTCGATATTCACTTACCAAGTAACATGGCAAACAAGCGTTCTTTATGTTATCAATCAATCAGTTACTTGCCTTTATGCTTCTAGTGTTTTGAAAACGGAAGTATTTTGATAAACTTGGTTAGATTGGGCATATAATGGAATCAAAAGAATGGTGTAGACAGAGTTGTTGGAACTGTCCTGAGCTATTTCGCATGATGAAGTAACAAAATATTGCTAGATACAATTTGTCTTTGGCGCCAGATGACTCTTAATAGTAAATTACAATTGTCGCTTCTGTTTGTAACTTAAAGTGATGTTGGAATCTTTATGCATTTTCTTGGCAGGTACAACATTGATATCCATGATTATAGTGTGAGACTTAGAGCTGCAAAGAAATTTCTTAAAGCCGGTGACAAGGTGATAGAAATTATTATTAATATTAGCATTACTGTTATTTTTATATTACTTTTAGGTGGTTAAACTTATTACTTTAGACCACCATTTGTTTCAGGTTAAGATAGTGGTGAACTTGAAAGGTCGGGAGAACTTGTACAAAAAACAAGCGATTGAACTTCTCAGAAGATTCCAAACTGATGTTGGTGAGGTAATTCAGGTTATACTTGATTTATTATGCCTAGAATAAGACTATAAGAGCATGGATTTTCCTTTTATCTCTTTACAAAACCTCTTTAATTTTCAGCGCAAATGGTTTTTATTCTCCACTTTGGCTATAGTGCATATTACCTATTAGTTGAATCAGCTAGTTTCAAGCTATTAAAATTGCTAATCATATTTCAGCTAGCGACAGAAGGAAGTAAGAATTTTGCAGAGAGGAATATATATTTGATTCTTGTACCCAATAAACTAGCCATACAGAAAGAACAAGATGGGGTGAGCAAAAAGGACACTGTGGAAGGAGAGACGGACCAATCAGAGGATGAATTGGACGAGGACGACACTGTGATCGAACAACTGGAGGGAAGTAGTTTGGATGGGGATGAGCTCGTGATAGAACAACTGGAGGAAAGTAAGGAACCTGAGACAGAAGTCTCAGCAAATGTTTGATTTAGCTGTAAAGCCCAAGGGCGCTGTCTCTGATTTTAGAAGGTATTCTATGGTTCTAAACAATATATTGTCTTGCATTTTGTCTAACATTCCGTCTGTTCGGAAATAAGTGACGTGGTTTTAATTTGAACTAAAACCATGTCACTTATTTCTGAACGGAGGTAGTAATTAATTACGTTTAATATCATTTGGTGCTTTTCTTGATGCTCTGATTTGCGCTATGTACTTGAATATCTATTTGGAACAACAAAAGTTAACACGGTAGGGACCAAAAACTGGTTTTGAGAAACATACTCCAATATCTTTATGACATTCTTTGTTACAAAAGACTGCATAATCATCTGGATTGGCCGTCAATAAACCTTACTGAAAGTGACCTCTGAAACTAGAAGAGAAAGAAATTGAAGGGAAGATAATTGGATGGTTTTGGTTCCTGAATATAGTTTGTAAGATATGCATTGTTCTTAAGGTCTGCAAAAATGTCAATTAAAGCTTGTGAAGTTTAATGTATAAGAATCAGGCCAGCAAGCCCGGGAACACTAATGAGGCCATGCCACCATAGCTAGTGTCCTGTCACCTGAGTAGCTTAGCCGCATTGCAGCTGCCAATGGAGTAAGGGCAAATTTCTGTTTATGAGAGGACCATTCTCGTGAACTGGAATGTTTTTCCTCGAGTGAACTTGCTACGTGTTTTTTACAAGTTCTGCAATTTCTGTTCTTTATGTTATTAATTATCAACTTATCATCTACCATGCTTTGATGATACTACCCGTTACTTTGACCCTTATGGTAAATTCACTTGCCTGATGATGATAGGTACCAATACTGTTCATGTAAATACAAGGATGGTGCTATTGTACTTGTACTCGCCGTCCTTGCCTGATAAAACAGAATAGCTATCCACCACCGTCGTTGCCTGGGGAGTCAGACAGAACAAAAAGCTGTGATACCAAGAAGCTGGGGGCTACCATCTGAACATTTTGGTTTTGGGGCCTCGGATTGTACCAACAGAATCTACTAAACGGCTTGGGAAGTTCGCTTGTATTGCCTGATGTGGCATTGTTGTCAGCAAGGTTTTGTTTTGGCGCTGTTCGCAAATCCTAGTCGGTGTTGTGGAGAAGATCAGTAGTCATATCTTGTTTATCAAATGGTTGCCTTCGGATTTTTTGGACATTTGGCTGGAAGTGCCTAAGAAGAGGGAGTGTCTGCTATTCACTGTGTGGGCAGTAATTTCTATCTAGTTTTCATTTTTCAAGTATAAATACATTTTTTTGTGTGTGCGCTGGTATGTGTCTGCAACTGTTCCATAAAACCGAAGCTATCTTGCTCATTTGGTCAAGTGCACTGGTATGTGTCTCTAATTCATTTTAAGCCAAAAATGAAGTTCCAAACTGACTCAAATTTCATAGCACGTCCGTTGCAAAGTAAAGCATGTGAACAACGTGAACCAGATACGTACGGCAAAAGCAAGGCATGTGCATCATCATCAAGGACACAATCAATTGGTTATCCCCTGTAGAGTATGGTGATAAAAGTTGCTGATCTACATGGGATAGCATCATCTCTTATCTTATGAACAACATAAAAAATTCAAGATAGAGGAAAGATATCTCGCTATCATCATGCGCCCCACACCACCAAAGGAGGACCCATTTTCCTTTGCAACTGATAAAAAATTCATGGGCTAAACAGTGGCTGTCAACCTAAGCAACGCGGGATGATGGTGTATGGCCCAACTAAGCTAGTTGTATACATTCTTTGAGGACAAAAGTATGTTCAGCCATCAACATCAGCTAAGTGTGCCAAGATTCACTCATGCACCGAAAGGCGACAACCTCCATGTGCATAAACACCTTAGAGCATCACTAGAATCAACAAAAACCACACAGTTCCAGCACTATAATGAGCAGTAAAAAGTAGACAACCCACACATTTCATAGAACTGAAAAACATTGACATATCAAGAAAGCGTCACCATATCTCTTGAAAGGGTGACCGCAAACGTGTAGGTAAATGAAGTCGGTGTACCAGGAACCTGTCATCATCTACTACCCTGTAGTGTTAGGTTAGATGTTCCCATTGGTGGCCTGGGAACCTGCAATAGATAATCTGCTACCAAACATTCTACTACTGTTACCGCGATACAAGTTACAACGACAAAAGGCAGAGGAGCTGCTATAATTTACAACAGGCTTTAAGGTTTCTGGAACCTCGACATCCTCAGTTTGTGAGCTGCTATACAAAATAACACTGACAGGTCCGTCGTCATGGTGAATCCATGATTTTGCTTGCTGCACTTCCTCTTCCATGCAGGTTGTACAAATAGAAAAGGGCATGGGAGGTAGAAATGAAAAAAGAAAGAGAAATTTGGGGGTACCTAACAAAGGGGAAGAAAAAGAAAGGGGGGTGGGGAACAAACTGAAGATACACATATTCACGTTACGGTTACAGAGAACTAATGAATGGTGTGGTTACCTCTATCTTCTTAGTTAGACATACAAGAAAGTTGTTCACTCTGTTTCTTGCATGAGTTGTGTCCTTAGGCTGGACTCGTGGACCTGCTCAGAGGAAGATAAGGGTACAAGTTAGATTGAACAGCAAAGCACACCCTTCTATATTGCAGCTTCAAGCCTGGAACAGCAGCCTATATATTATCTTACTGACATGTGAAAACGTAGCTTTTGATATTCATCAAAAATAATAATAGGACTGCGTTATCTAGAAACTGATCATAAAGAGGTTGCACAGATATAGATTGTGATGTAACACATGGTAACAAGAAATAGCAGTCAGAGGCAAATGATCCACTCAAAAAGCATTTCCAGCATCAAAGTGATGAGAAATCCGGCAATATTAAATATATCATGCCAAAATAGAAAATATTAACACAATTGCTTATGTTTCAGTCAGTGTCTCAGCATACGTTGGCATCTTATTTAACTGTTTCAAGCACCTATGACCTTTTGGGACTTTGATAATCAGTTATTGTACAAAAATATTATATTATCCTCAGTGAGGATACTCATTAGGAGTAGATAAAAATATCATTCATGCATATGTGCCCTTAACAAGCTAAATAATTATATTTGATACATGGAAGTAGCATTCGACAATGTATCCCCAAGTCCTATCAGAACAAGAGAAATGATGATGAGATGAATAAATGTATATCAAGCTTGTACCTGCAGTGCTGCCGCTGTACCCAAGAGTTCTCTGTACTCATTAAGGGTAGTGCTCTCTTTAGCAGCAACAGCTGAGAGTTCTGTAACGAGAGAGTGTGTAGCCTCTAACTGCAGAGCACAGGTCAATGGTTAGACACCTAACGGCGTTATTTATTAGAAATGCTTAATTATCAGAAGATTATGGCAATCAATGAATTGATCCAAATAGTGTAGCAAGCATAGAAAATCAGCATCCACTTCCATGGTAATGCCAGAACTCAAACATCAATCTCCAATAATTTGACATGTTGGATTTGGAAGGAAAGATCATCTGGAACGGTCAAGTTAATAAGAGTAGTTAAATTTTGTCCATGCACTAACTTATGGTTTTCCTGCTAGCAGTACGAGACTACCAGCTTGGCAGAAGGGGACTGGCCAGAAAGCTAGCATAATGTCACCACCCTCTCACAATCATTGCAGCCACATGATACCACAAACAGCACTATCACAACTCTAACAATCAGGACCTCCAGGACCTCCATTGAATCATAATAACTGAATGGCTGTAGCCTTGTAGGCACAAGAAACGCGAGTGTGCCAATGCTAATTATAGATTAGTTTTTTTTCCTAGCCACCAGTTCAATGATCACAAATTGTCCTATTAACCTATGCTATGATTAAACTTGTATGAATTGAAATATCAAATTACAATGGAAAGTATAGGTTCTTCATATGGTAGTATTTCAGGAAAACAACTAAGTAATTTTGCATCCACTGAAACATATCAGTTTTACCAAAGTTGCCAATTATGCAGCAGTAGCAGAAAATAGGCCTTCTATTTTACCTTCGATAGCAAGTTGCAAACAGAAGAGCCCATTGCTTGCATAATGTCAACTGCTGAACTGACAGCATTCTTAACAGTAAGTACATCAGCCTGCAAGAAGTAAACAGTAAGAATCACTAAGCATTTCACAGATAAAACAGCAAAGAATCAAACGGAAGACTTGTTTAACATGTACAGAAGTTAGCTTTACTCCAGGAGTCATCATACTTCAAGTATTATGTTTTCTAGTTCTAGAAGGGTTCATGTCTTGGAAAGCGAACTGGTGAATGGTGATACCTTTGCTCCTCCTGTAACTGGAAGGCGCAATGTACTTGCTCTAAGAGCTTCAATTGCACCGGACAAAGAAGTAGAATGATCTGTTTGCAACTCTGCCCAGTGGTCAAGGTAGTCCATCTGCATCATGAAAACAAAAGATGCAATAGTGAGGTCAGACTCATGAAGCAACACAAGCTTCAACACAGGTAGTTTTATCTTGTGCTAAATAGCAGTGAGCACTAGTGCACCTCCACAGAATATAAAACTTGCTTAATGAAAAAAAAACTAGTACGTAAAGATGTAAACTTAGTCTTCCAACCAGTGGCAGGGTTTGGAAATGAAGATATAGACACCATGAACATATTTCTACAAACAATGCAACCGTTTTACTAGGACAATCTATCTCAACCGAAACAGACATGATCGGGAATTTTATTTTTCTTTTCTCTATCTACTCTGAAAAGCCAGGTAAAAATATGAAATGCTGGAAGAAGGTTACTTGTTGCGCTGCTGCCTTGATGCACTGCACTAATGCCCACAATGTTATTACTTCACTAGTGTTTTAAACAGATGTTGCATATGTTAGTTACACTATTAAACCTTGCACAACTATAACACAAATCTTAGGCTAACCAATACCATCAGGAGAAACAAGTGCCTAAAATATCAGAGATCTCAACATATCTTACTTGTTGTTTCAACACTATTCCCAATTTGACCTCTTGCCTCAGCCTTTCAACA